GTTCTCACTTGCAAATGTCAGTAGGAGGGAAACCACTGCAACAGCCTTAAAAAAAAGGGTTTGTTGAGAACATGGAAGCAAAGGCAATTAAATAATAGTTCTCGAGAAGGTCATTCAGGTGGTTAATGATTGACTAGTTTTTTTTTTTTTTTGAACACGTAGAATTGATTCTGAAGTTTGCTAAGAGAATGATTACAGGTAATTGTTTTTTTCTTATACATTCTGAAGCAAAAAACTAAAAAAAATCGCATTTCCAAAAATTTGACAATGGCAATTTTACAATGAGATTTTTATAATGAAATTCTCAATAGAAAAAATATTATTCTCCACCTAACTCATGATATGAGGAAAAGGAAAATGTATTAGTTTTATCAGCTACAGCTTTTCCGGGTTGAATTATTAAAATATTTGCGATATGAATGTGCAAATAAGGAATGAGGTTAACCTATAACGGTCGAAAAATAATTAACTGGTTCCTTACTTTTTCATAAATGCTAACGAGTTAATCATAACGAGCTTTACTGCAATGAACAGCGCTATTGCTAGACGAAAATATGTGTACGGCTAACACACAAATGCCGTAGTGAAAATATTTGAAAGATAAAAACTAGAAATTTTTCAAATACATTCGATCTACTTTCGCTGATTACGTGCTGCAAATGTATGAAAAAGAGCATGACTTTTTAACTAAAATTATCTAAGATTAAAACGGGTGTAACTTTATAACTCGTGACTTTTCTTCCGTAAGGGCAGACACAAAAAATTGGAAGAAAGTTAAAAAATTTTTTAATGCAAATAAATTTATTTTGTTGTATGTTATATGTTCGGACATGAAGAAGTGAAAATTTTGTGGAGATTTCATTTTTTTTATTACATTATTTGTTTTATGAAAATTTCCTTTTCATTGCACAGTGCAGACTCTGCAATAATTTAGGGAAAAAACTCGTGGCTTATTTTTAACACATGGCTTTAGAATTATCATCTGTAACCACATTAAATATATTGGGCCATACCATCGCGCCCGTGAAAGGTGGCCGCCCACAATCACTTAATGAAGAACATTTACATGCTTGGTAATTTAGTTCAAGGTAAGTGCGCTTCGAAAATGAGTTGAAATTCTCAAAAAGCCCCTATAGTTTAGAGTAATGCTGCGTAGGTTTGTGGTGGAGATGTTTCTGGTGAAGATGCCTCATCAAAATATGCAGCAAACAAATGCTTTAATTCCTTTTGCTCTCAACTTTTCGACCTTAAAGAACGGCGGTGTTCTTTTCGGTCAGAAGACATTTCTCTCATATTACAATATCGCTTCGATATTAGACACAAAAACAGTTTTGAACTGACAATGAAAAACTATATCGATCCAATTTAATTTGCGAACCAATGCGGAAAACAAACGAAATCGAGACATTTTTGAAGAGACTGCTAACAGCCGATGAAAAGTTGATCATTTACGGCATAAGCAAACGGTGGGAAAGGCTGATTTTGACGCCTTTTATAGTAATGGTTGATGTAAGGCACCTTTGAAGGAACATTGTGCACCACGAGCTGCTCCAATCATGCCTAATGGTTAATTCCACGTTCTAGTCTCATCAACTCTTATGATTAAAGCGTGCAATTGAGGTAAAGTGGCAAAAATTGTCAGTAGGAAACGCATGGTCTTCAATTACTGCAATGCCATGCCACATACATCTGTTATGTTCCGCCAAAAATTGAAAAATCTTGGCTGGGAAGTTTTAATATATCCATCGTACATTTGCCCGCCCGACTAGAATTTCTTTACCTTTCTGCAAACTTCACAATGTATATAATGTGAGAAAATGTGCTCAAAAGAGAAAGTTCAATCCTGCGACCAAAGATTCACAAAATTCCGCATTGAGGACATAAACATTAGGGATAGGATTTATTAAAGTTCATATAAAAAATATGAGAAAAAGTTGTTTAAACATAAGATGGAAATGCCATGAACTTTTTCCTTAGGTTTCACGACATGCAACTATGGGTTAAAGGGTGTTTTATTGGTTTTACACTCTTTACTCAAGTGTTAAAATTTATGCCTTTTTAACACATAATATTATTGAGTGACAGACTGATTTATAATTTACCCGAACTCTTATTTTTCTGGCGAAAGTGATGTAAGCGAAAATCCGTAAAGGTTTACAGTCATTTCCATTTCATTGACATGAACGTGTGTGCTGCATGCGTTCGCATAACGACGTCTTCCTTTCTTTCATAAAATATTTGAAGTACTTCATTAATACAATCGTTATTCATTAGTATTAATTTATATTTGATTGACAATGACAATGACAATGATGATAATGATGATGATCTGACATTTGGTTGTCATTACATCGTCTGTAATAAAATTCCATCTTTTGCAAGTTTTTTTTCTTGAAAAAAACACTTAAAAAATCGCTGAGCTTTAAAGCTATATATAGCTCTCAGCTGGTGAGAGAGGACCTAAGAACGGAGAGGGCATTCAAATAAAGCTGAATTCTTAGATTATAAGGTAGGTTCAAATCAAAATCAGAGGCGACTTCTCTTACTTCTTTCGCACTAGGGAGTAGAATTTTTTCTATCTCTTATTGGTTTTCAATATAATAAGTAGGCTTCCAGCAAAGAATTTTCCACATCCAAGGACCAATGATCCGCCTGGGTAGTTGAGTAAGTAAGAGCCCCGACCACCAAGTCAGTGTTCGCGAGTTCAAATCCCAAATGCGGTAGAACTTTCTTTGATCATAGTCGTAGCGAGTGGTCAATCGGTAAAAGTCTAACAACGATTGGTCACAAACCCACGAGGCTGCGGCTGTTAGCTTCTATTTCTTTCTTTTCTCTCTTTTTATTCGGACGATTATCTTATTATACGAAGAGGGACATCGCCTGAGTTATTAACCGTATCAAAAAAAGAAAAAAAAACCATACAAAAAGTTTACATTCGGCACGGGCCGAATCTCGCATACACACCACTACGTCGGTCGCATCTACTTTCCAAGTTGTTTTATTTGATACCTATATCGCTGGCGTTATTAAAGAAAAAGTAATCGCGCTGTCTACCATTTTAGAATTAACCCATTTGTAGGCTGATAATAGATCTTCTTTTGAGAGAGTACAAAATAGTTGTAAACGTTGGGTTTTTGTTTGTTTTACAATAAACAAACATAAAACCTCAAAAAAGTGGAAAAAAGAAAATCTAATCACTTATAACTTTATGTGCGCACGGCGTATGGCTTCTATTTTGGTGGAAAATTTCAACTTTCTAACTTTTATAATTTCCAAGCAACGAGCAAAATATCCAAAAATGTTTCTTTAAATAAAACGAAATTACGTTTAGTTTTTGTTCCACCGCGCGGTTCTTCCCTGAGGAGTTTGGCCTATTTTCAATACGTGCAGAAACTTCCAATGTTTCTGCCAAATTTGAAGCCGATATCTTCATTTTTGCGATGAAGAGAGTGCCAACAACGGACAGTCGGGCAGACATGGCTAAATCAACTCAGAATTTCACGCTAATCAAGAATAGACATACTTTATAGGGTATCTGAAGCTTCCTTTTGGAAGCTTTGGCTTACACGCATTATGGAAAAAAACGATATCTTACAGTGGTGGGTATGAAAATGCACATACCAAAAACGTGCTAAAAGTTATATAATCAAGGCAAACTAGAATTAGTATTTAATATTTACTTGACGTGTATTAAAGTACGACTAAGACAAGAAACAGAGAGAATCGTTGTAAATTAGTTATTCTTTCCCTTAGATTTGAGAACTTGTAAGTAGAAATATGTTTTCAATACTTTCTTACCTACATGTGATGTGCGAAAATAGAGCAACTTTATCTTTCAATTCGTAACTTCTACAAATACACCTTATAGATTCCAGTAACATATTATATAATATGTCTTCTGTCTGACATATACATGGTAGCACTATGGACACACGAATATGATTTCTCGATAGTGTCAGCCATAAGTCAAAATTTCATGACATTCTAACAAAATGACTGTAAAAGTGATAGCCATGTTAGTGATACAACTTTTGTTATTGTTCGAATTTTGTTTGTTAATTAAATGTCGCTTTTTGAGGAGAAAACGTACCCTTAATAACCAGCACAAGTTTGAAAGGTGCTATGACGACTCTTAAGAATGCTATACGCTATGATAGTTCGAATTCGACTGTTGCTCCAGAAAGTATAAAAAAGGCAAAAAATCAGTTTGGAAGAGCGAAAAGTGAAGTTGCGTCGGATAGCTAACACCGCAAAGATATCAAAAGGCAGCCCATCCACCATTTTGAATAAACATTTCTCCATGAGAAAGCTTTGCTTTCAAATTGAGTGCCGCGTTTGCTCACTATTAACAATAAGATGTAGGCCAAACCCCTGTTTCGTCGTGTTTAGGTGAAATAAAAAGGATGGTGTGGGAAGGTGGGATCATGGAATCGTCACTACGCTCTAGAATCAGATTAGTTATTAGTGGAATGAGCATTGACCTAAAAGACAAAAGACGGCTGGAAAGCTTATGACAGTCGCATTTTATGCTGGGGATATCCATTGACTACCATGAAAAAGGATGAAAGAGGATGACGAAGGATCAACAGTGGATTGAATGTAGCATTATAAGTGAGTTTGAGTGATGAAATCGCAAAAAAAAGGACAAGCTAAAGTCATACGATAATTTTTAATCTGTAAGGCATTTCGACTTAATCATGTTCACGTTACTGGTCAAGTGTGCTTTGGACGTGCTGGGAAATAAAACTTAAAGGTTAAGACACCTTTTTGGAATATTTATCCATTTTTGTATAATTTTCTAAATTAAAACATTAACTTTCTATTTGTTATATGTCTCATAGTTAAAATACTATAAATACGCACATGCAAATAAGGCTCAATACTATATAGTCAACTGAAATGACTGTTAAAGCATTATTTTATATTATTTAAAAAATTAAACACCATTCTTATCACTTTCATTAAAACGTTAATTAAGTTCTTTGTTATTATAATTACAGATTGGTTAGCATAACTGCGCGAAGCCCATGCCCAACAGAATCTGAATAAAACGTAGTGGTTATTAAAAATCATCGAAACTGACACTCGAGCAATATTTTTACAACAGATACAGATACATAAATGCGTACGGCGTGTGGCTATGCAATGGATATAATTGCATAGATGGGTTAATATTCTTAACATAAATGTACGACAGAGCCCATAATTATCCTGTGTTCTTATTTCAATGTGAAAAGGTGACGATAAAAAAATTCTGAAAACATCTATAAAAAACCCATCATTGATGATCATAACTACTGACGTTTAATAATTATCATACTAAGTAGTATAAATAATAATAAAATTTAAGTTGAAACATGATTTCAAAAAGCGAAAAGAAAAAAAGCAAAAATAAATTTATATCAGGTAAAGCACAACAAGAGTGTTCATATTGACGTGCGTCTATCTATCTCGCCTAACGATCATAAGGATAGAAGAGAAGCTTAATTTAAATCTTAAATCCTAATAGCTGCATTAAAGAACTATAATGTATGATAATAAAGGAAACATCAATAATAATAATAATAATCGTAATAATCATACGGAAAACGGTAGCATTAGCAGCGACAGAACCGCTAATAGAACTAGTTTTTTCTTCACGAATCTATTAGGAGAAGCGGAGTGCATTGAGCGGCTTAACAGAACAGCAACAAACTTTGAGCCAGGTGTGTTTATATGTGTTGAAATAAAATCACCTGCGTTTAATGTAAAGTAAACCATTGATGGAGAAATCCGATCTAATGTTAAGCAAATTTTTTTATACTTTTATTAGGTAAATACTGTCCGGGCACATTCGATGGTTGGCTTTGTTGGCCGGATACAGCTGCTGGTAGCACAGCCTATGAGCGTTGTCCTGACTTTGTAACCGGGTTTGAGCCTTCAAGTAAGTTCAACGTTATCATATTTTCTATCTCTTCAGTATTAGTTCGCTTATTAGTAAGTGTTGTGGAAATTGTGGAAAATTTTTCAAACCTAACAGAATGCACCCTTTACGTGATTTATTCCATTGTAGAAGGCATACAACTTATTATTTTTATGACTTTAATTTTAGCTCCTATTGCATATTCAATGTTTCAGAAGTTATAAAACTTTGACTTTTTGTAGGTAAACTCAAAAATTTCTCCAAGCTCACTTCCAATTAGCGTAATTAGCTTCCAAGCAGCGTAATTGGCTGTTTGTTGTCGTTTACAATTACATTATTATTATTAAATAATTTGTAACGTCCGCATACGTAGGTGCTGAGGGTTTCGGTCGGTCGGCTTTACCCCTGCTCGCCACAAAAAGAGTAGCGTTATTCTAAATAACGGAATTCCGTTAGTTAAGATCTTTTTTCATAATTTTCGGCTCACATAGCAGCACTATTCGAAAAGGGGGTTATGAAAAAAGAACAAGGTCCGAAGTTCGTCTGTACAGAATAAGGATAAGAAAGCTCCACGATGAGAAACAAAAAAGAGATCAATGACAGTAGTCGAAGTGTTCAGAGTGTTGCTTAATGTAAAATTTACAAAATAATTATCAAAAATTAGAGTAAATTTTATTACTTAACTTATAAATATAGTTAAATAGTGTAAATTAGTTGAATGAATGTATTGCGGATAAAATGATTTTACATATATTTTTTTTAAAAATTTTAAGCATGAGAAAGAAAGAAATAAAGAAAAGCTTGCGAAAAGTTGAAATTAAAATTCAACCTCAAGTGAAAATACACTGTTTGAAATTAAAACTTAAGCCTATGTAAGAATGTATCATTAAAACTGGAAATTAACACTAAAATTCAACGAAAGAAACGTCGTACCAAAAATCGTATTTTAAGTCTAATGCTACTGTATTATTAAAAATTTCTTACGTTAAAACTTAAACTTAATAAAAGCGCATTATAACTAAAATCAGTGAGTTTCTAAAACCTGGGATATATACATAGATAAAAAGACGAACCTGCAAATATTGGTGTCAATAAAATGGCTTAGTTCGAGAGAAAACATATGACAGGGTTTATAAAATACAAGGAAACACAAGATCGCGTCAATTGGCAACGGAAAGCAATACGCTGATGCGCCGTTATGAACGGAAAGGAATGAGATAGAAGACCACAGAGGAGATAGAGGACAACATCTACATCAAGTGAGAAATAAATCACATTAGTTTTAAGAAGTAGTAACAAACAAAAAATGACACACCTCATGAACTAAATATATAATAGGTGTCGTGACGATGAAGTATAAATATGGGTGCGTGTGAGCGTAAGAATGTAACCATAGACAATGACTAACAGACCAACAGATACATACTAACTGACTATGAGACTGTTAGACAAGACATGCCGGTAGTTATTTATCATATATTTATATATGAATTTGCTATTATTTTCTTGTAAGTGTAACTGGGTTAGCCAGGCGGTACAAATAGAACCCAAGCTTTACACACCATTACAAATTATTTGAATTGCTTATCATATAGCTACATCGTCATTTTTAAGACGGTTAATGGCATTCCGACTACATTTCGCGCCAAAATTCGTTGCCAAAAGATTTTGAAGCACGTCAACTTTCCTATCGGTGAGCAAGAAATTTTAGCGAAAATACTGCATATGTTATTATAAGTACGGTTCTGACTTACGAGATTCCTCTAAGTTTTTCTTTCACAGAAAACTTTCTGTACTAGACTTTGTTGTCGAAAAACATGTGATCCCTCAAAGTGTCCGCATTAGTTGCCGAATAGGCGAATAGTTCCGATTAACAATTCAATGGTTGTGGGTTCAAAGCCAATAGCCGATGCCAGTGCTTTGAAACTTTAGTGTTATAATTTATTTTTCTGGCTAAGTTAATTGTAATATTATTCTACAAGTTAATTAAAAATATTATTATTGTTATTATAACTTTAGACTAATGAAATAAATCCTAAGACTAAGAAAAAGACATTGAGCACTAACAACACAGGCTATAGGCTCTAATTAATAAAAGCACATTAGATATTAAGCTTAGTTGTTTTAATAAAGTAATACATTGTATTGATATTCTGTTCTGAAGCTGATTGTAGAATGTCCATACGGCTAATCGTTCCAAATGCAGTACTTCTAGTCAAGGTAAAGTTGAGGTAGTCGCAGAGAATGTGCTTTATAGTGAGAATTTGTCTACAACTGCAGATTGGGGAGGAAGAATTCTCCATTGGTGCTGATGATGGTATTGTAGATTACCTTCTGTAATTTTCTCTTTAACTTTTCCTCCAATATATCTTTAAAGATCCAACTTTTTTATGACATCATCCATAATTAGAGGTACAGAAGCAGCATACTTCGCCGCTCGATCAGCCTGCTCATTTCCCAATAAAACGATATGACTAGGTATCCATAACATTTTAATTTTTTATTCCTTAATTTGTTGATGGTGCTCCACCTGGAAGTCGAAGGATTCCGTATAGCTTTTAATACAGACAAAGTGTCAGTAACAATGACGGTTTTGAGTTTGTTTTTATGGGCAAGGTTTGCAGCGTGAAGAATAGCTCTGGCTTCGGCTGTGAAAGTTGAAGAACTTTCGTGAAACATGCGATTGAGAAGAACCTGTCCTGAAGCATCTACCATAGCACAACCAGGTAGCAGAGCAAAAGATTTTTAGCCATCTGTGTATGAAATAGTGCCCGTTACTCTCCAGTACTTGTTTTTTTCAGCTATTAGATTCCTGAAGACGAAGTTTGGAGTATCTTCTTTCTTGTGCATCTTCCAAAATCCATGGAGGTTTAACGCCAAAGAGCGGAAAATTTTTAAGGGAATGTCCAATTCCTTTGCGACGTACAAACAATAGTCAATTGCAGATGGTGACCTTGGAATTTTCTTCGCAATAATAATCTCTCAGGTCATCACCAAGGATAGATTTGTTTGAATTAAGAAGCTTGGGAACTCTTTTAGCTTTTAACTCATATAGTCTATTTTCTAAAGTTAGGAGACCAGTTTCAATTATAATATTATTTATGGGCGTCGTCCGAAAAGCAAAGCAAGTTTCTCTGAAGGCTTGGTGATAGACCGGTTTAAGGACGTTGATAAAATTGCCATAAATTGCCAAAGCATGTCAATCTTGCTTATAAACAAGCATTTTGGTAAGATAAGCAATAGTGTTAATGTGCGCATATCCAAGCGACGTGTTGTACGAAATTCACCTTTGTTGAAATGGAATTTTTTAACCGAAGGTAGCGTCTTTTCCAACGATATATATTTTGGAAAACGTGAGCCCGAGAATAAGGAGCGTCTGCACATTTAGTACTGGTAAGTCATTAATATGCGTCAGTAGATTTCCTTCACATATCTGCTTTCGACAAATGTGCATTATTTTTGTTTTTTGTATAGAAGTGCAGATCTCTCGTCCAATAGATTCGAGGATGTTCATTGCCTTGGTTCTGCCTTTGTCTTTTGTTAAAATGTACACATCGTTCGCGTAGAGACAATGTTCGATTCTCGGTACACGGTAAAGAATTTTACTAATTTCGTTAAAAGCGATCTGAAAAAACGTGACAGACAGAGGAGATCCTTGTGGAATGCCACTCATTAGCGAAAAGGATTCAGAGAGATGATTGTTGATTTTAACTTTGAACCGCCGATGCGACATGAACGATTTGATATAGTTAAAGAATTTGGGTCCAACATTCTATGATTTCAAGCGTCTTGAAATAGCATGAAGACCAACTCTATCAAATGTTTTTCGAAATCAATTGAGAGAATTGTTACATGATTCCATTTGGAAATTGCTTTGTTCGTGAAAAAATCAATATGTAAAAGAGCACCCTCTACGCCGCTTGAAACCAACTTTTTGCTTTGTAATCAGGTTCTTGGACTCAAGAAACTAAGATAATCTAGATGCCATAATCTTCTCTAATACCTTTGAGAGGCAAGATAAGAGAGGTTGGGCGATAATCCGATGCGATGGAGACATCTTTTGACTTTGGAATTGGAACAACTGTTGCCAGTTTCCACATGTAGAGCCAGTCAAAAATGCAGTGTTATATAGATCCACTAATTTCTTTTTACTTGAATTAGACCGAGCACTGATCATTTGGTATGAGATGCGGTCTAGACCAAGTGCCCTCCCCTTCAAATTGGAGAAACAACTTTCAAGTTCTAAGGCAGAAATGCAATTTTCCAGGAACATGTCACATCTATCAATATTATTTGAAAGAGAAATTGCATTCCTTTTATTTTCGATGAAAGCACTGGAGAAATTGCTGTCAGAGGAGTATTCGCACACCCTTTTTCCAAAATAATTAAAAATCTCATCTGCGTCAGTTAAAGTTCGATTAGGAGTGCAGATAGCAGAGATTTCGTTCAGATTTGAAGTCCCATTAAGTCTGTTAATTTTGTTCCAGACAACTTTCATTGACGTATTTCTGCGAATTCCTCTCGAAAAAGGTTCGAAACTAAGTGCCTTTGATTTTCGTAATTCCTTCCTGAATAAAGCGTTGGCCTTTTTGTATAATAACAAATGATCATGATCAGGAAATCTCTTAAAGCGGTGCCATAGATTCATTTTATTTTTCCTCAAAAACTAAACCGTGTTGTTCCACTAAGGAACCCTAGCTCGTTTAAAAGAGGTGTTGGATTGTGGAATAGAGAGATGAGCAGTCGTGCGAATCGCTTTAGACATAATAGCAGCATCAGTGAAGTACGGAGAATAAATCATAGAATTCTTGCTGAGAAAACGATTGCGGAGGTGGGATATAGACCGAAAGCATTGTACATTTTATGTTTAACATTATTTGTATCGCTACGGCTTGTATTTTTGAGCTTCAATTTATGCGTTTGTGAGGTATACTTGATTTTATAAAAACACCAATTCCTTGCTTGGAATATTGGTGGAATTAAAAGACCTTCTTCTAATAGATGTAACATACTTGAGTTTT